AGCTGCAACTAGAGTGTGCTTATTTGAAATTTATAAAGGGAGATGACTCACCAAATCCTCACTGTTTCGGTGGGCCTAATTATTGTGTTTTACTGTGCCAAGCAACAGCATTTTCATCCATATACATGCTCACTTTTTCATTGCGAATATTTTGAGTTGAAGGAAAACCACAAATAAACTTGCTTGAATGCATGGCCTTGGTGGTGACAACTCAGAACTACATAAACATTGGCCAAAATCCTTTTGCCATGTTATGGTGACATAACACAAATGATGTAACTTTTGGAAGCACATTGCCAAATATTAATCTATATAGGTATTATCCATTGTTTAGAGTCATGTGGCCTACAAAGATTTCTTAATTGGAGGCAGCTTTCCTCCCAAAGTTGCACCTGTTGTGTAGTTGTACCAGAGGATATTGACCATCTTTAGTGAAGAGACAAAATGATATGGTTTGGTTTTTGTTTGCATTTATGCAGTCACTTCTGTTCTGTATGTGTGATAATGTCCAGCACTCTCCACCTTCTTCTTCCCAATATTGGTCACGGAAAAATCAGGCAAACCAAATTCTTCTAAATAAACAGGTTTATGAGGGGGTGCTGAAAAGTATTGAGCCTTTCCCAGAAAAAAATTGAGCTTGGAAGCTGTAACTGCCACACTATCCTACATATTCCCCCAGGAAGTAAATGCACTCGCGACATCTGTCCTGCAGCTTCTTAAGTCCCTGCAAATAACATTCTTCCGACTGCTGGTGTAACCACTCATTTGTAGCATTAGTTGCCTCCAGAACACTCCCAAATCGTTATCCTTTTAGCTGTTTTTTGAGTTTGGGGAACAGAAGGAGCCAGGTCAGGAGAATAGGGTGGATGGGGCATCACTTGAAAGCCTAAGGAGGTTAGTTTTGTCATTGTTTCACCTGCAGTGTGTGATGAGGTGTTCTCATGCAACAGGATGACACCTTTGGAGAGCTTTCTTCAACGCTTTTACTTGATGTTTCGCCTTGACTTCGTCAATAAAGCACAGTAATATTTTGCATTGATGGTTGAACCCTGTTGGAGGTTGTCCACCAGCAGAACTCCCTTCTTATCCCCAAAAACTGTTGCCATTTGCTTCTGCACCAACCTTTGCACTTGGAACTTCTTTGGCCTGGG